CGCACAACACACAAGTATAGACTAGATCGCCTAATTTGGAACAAAGCATCGCATATCCGTTTGTCCGAAAATGGTTTTGAAGTTTGCTACTCGCAAGTAGGTTAAAACACGGATTTCAATGAATCGTTCCAATTCAAGTAATCCAACCTTCATCCACAAGCATTCAGGCAGTTATATCACATCAAGATGCTAAAGCATAAACACTTACAGTGTACTCCGAGCCAAAATAAAGAACTAATTAGTAATCATGTATGATCCTAGCTCATGTTAAGATGGCTAATGCAACACATGCAAAATGCAACTAGAAATAGGCTCGACTAATCTAAAATGGCATGTGAAATTCAACAATTGATACATGTATTCAACTTGGAATTGAAATACAATGTAGTTAGTATGATGCACCGAGCCCGGTGCATGCAATACAGATGAATGATGCAAACATGCATAGCATAAGGATGCTAAATGAAATATGCCCTAAAACTAACCATCGTAAGCGGTTAAGTAAAAGGGAGAAAGAAATGGGGGTTGGAAGACATGCATCACACACACGCACACTTATTACAACAATTGCGCCCTCTCGACGGAGAGATCGAAAGAATAATACAAATCATCTAATTAACTAACTAACAAGCTAATTAATTATTACACAACCCTTAACTAATTAAACAAATTAATTAAGCTATGAAAACAATAAAGCAGCCTCCGGAAGAGGGACGAATGTATGCTCGATCGGCTTCACTCGGAAATCTATCGTCATGCTTCATGTTGCCTCTGTTTGCACTGCTCTGTACTTCTGAAAATTGTGCCAACTTCTGTGACACTTCTGAACCACCTTGTGGGCATGCTGTGAGTCCATCGGCCAAGAGATGAGGTCATTGGCCAAGGAAAACTGGTCATCGACCACTAATGAGGCTCTCGGCCAAATATTTGTTGCCGATCGGCATTGGACTTGGTCGATCGACCATCTATTCCTGTGAAAAGCTCTTGTTGCTGCAGCAGAGGACAAACAGAGCATGGCAATGCATTTGCAAGACATTGTTTGCACGACCACCCTTCCTGTCATGTTATAAACTCAAGGGAGTGTAGTCCTCAACCCTCGGACCACCAATCACGCATTTCAATGCATAATGGCCAAAGAGGCCAAGTGTGCAATTCAATATGGAATGAAATGCACAAAACACATAAGGGGGCCCCAACCTCTATCATGATTGATCATGAGGCAAGGGATGCACACACAATGCTATGCAACCTAAGCATTCAAGCAAGCATGCAAACAACTCAAACATGCTACAAATCTAATGCAACATGAGCATGCAAGCATACAACATGCAATAGGCATACAACCTAGATATGCAAACATGCATAGCATGCAACAAAATGCAAAATGAAACAAGCATGCAACAACATGGTAAGATGGACTTAAACTAAAATGGACAGCTCTCAAATAGGCCCAAATCAGTGGCCAAATTCATGAATTGGAAGCATGAAAATGCAAAGAAAACATGCACATGTCAATGGTCCAACACCTAGGCATAGAAAGGCAACTTTCAAGAACACTTAAAAGGGGACAAATGTGGACATTTGACAAAGATGGTAAGCTCTGAAATCATGCATGGAGAGGTGCCAAACCAACCAAACTACACAAGTAAAGCATGCAAGAAAGCTTAAAGCTTGAGGCTAGCAAAAGGACTCAAACCAAGGCTACACAAAGCAAGCCCCAAAGGGCCGATGGGACCTAAAATAGTCCCAAGGCAGGTCCAAACAAGACCAAAAACAAACTCGAAACTAGCCAACACAAGCTAGGACACAATGCCAAAAACATGAGGCATGCAAAGCTACAAAAGAGGTGTTACACTGCACCTATCAAAACCAAACATGGCATGACTTAAGCCAATAAAATCAAGGTTATGGCATGTTAAAATGAGACCAAAAACCCACTTAGATGGCATCTAAATGACCTAAGCATGGAAGCATACATAATGATCCAATCATGAGGCATAAGAGACCAACTCTTTAAAACATTAAAGGAGTGATAAATACAAGTGTACAAACATGAAATATGGACTGAAATAACATAACAAGTGATGCCAAATCACTGAAATGGCCCAAGTAAAGCATGCTAGTGACTTGGACACTCAAAGCTAACAAGCTAGATTGCATGGTGGCTATACAAAGCATGGCATACATGGTTAAAACAACTCAAATCAGGGCTCTAGCATGTTATAACAAGGCTAAAAGCTTCATGGAGTTAAGCCAAAATCATGCTAAAATGACATGTTACAACATGATGCATGTTAAGGCAAATAGGGGGATTACAAGACAAGTACATGAAGCATGTAAGAGGCCATCAAACCAACTCAAAATAGAGGTGTATTATGGAAAAACAAAGCCTAATACATGTTGAAATGAAGCTAAAACAAGCTAAGCACACATGCTACCTACATAAGCCATTTATGCAAGCATTCAAGACAACATGGAGAGGGGATGGCCCTCTCCTTTTTAGGACCTCAAAACCACCTCTCCACCACTAAAAATTCTCTGGATTTCAGTGGTAGAGAGGCCTTGCAAAGCTTAAAGCAAGGGCCAAAAGGGATGGCCTAAAACAAGGCTAACAAGGCCTTGGAGGGGGTAAACAATCCCAAACCTCAAAATGACCTTAAACAAAGTTCTAAAGAAAGTAAAAATAAAACTTTTATCAGTTAATAGCTAAGCTTAAAACAATAAGAAAGAAGGGCTAAAAGCTTAAGCAAGAAAAGGGTATCTAAAGCAAGAATGCTCACCCTTGAAGAACACCTTCAAGAACACAACACCAGCACCTTTCTCTGATCAAAAACAGCTCAAGAACCTTAACACCAACTCCCTAATGCCTCAACAACCAAGGATGGTGTAGTGCTAGGTGTTTGTGTGCAATAGTAAGACAAAATCACACTTTAGATCACAAAAACACACACAAAAGTGTAAAGAGATGGAGATATAGAGATAGAGAGATACAACTATTCTAACCCTAATTTTCAAAACCTCTGAGAAGGGAGGAGAGCCTCCCCTCTTATAGAAATTCAATTCTAAAGCTTCTAAGAGAAGCTAAGCAAAGGAGCAAATCCCTTCATAGTATGGAGGGGGTGAATTGTGCATGCCAGTTGTGCCAGCTGGCACAAAATATCTGCATAAAGTAGATGAACAGGGTTTGACCAAAAAAATATGGCCGATCGACCAACATAGGGGCCGATCGACCAAAAAGAGTGCCGATCGGCTAACACTTTTGGCCGATGGAAAGAAAACAAGGCCGATGGCTTCAAGCCTTGGCCGATGGGTTAAGGGAATAGCCAACAAGCCATCATTTTCCCTCAAAAGCAAAAACACAAGTGCTTGGTCCACAACCAAGCACAAAACAATCAAGTTGAGAGATTTTGAGGCAAGGCGCGCAACCGAGACCTCCGAGAACTCAAAATGAACACGAACATGGATGATCATCGAGTGTTCAAACGATGACGTCCAATCTTGAGGATGGTCAAAAACGGGGTGTCTACACATTGGCACCAAAAGCCCATGCCAAAAAGCACCCCTTTCTCTCTGTATTTCTTTCTCTCTCTCCCACCAATCCCATCTCTTTTTTTAACTATAAATGCGCGCCAATAGCACACCAAAGTCACAGTAACTGATATACAAAACTCCTCTTTTTCATAGTCTCATTGCCTTCTTCTTCCTCTCAGTCACTCATGGAAAACAACAATGGCAATCTGGGTCATTGGGCTAGCATTGTTAGCGATCATGAATGCCACAAGAACCATGCCATCTCACAACCATGAGGCCGCTGCCGCCACCTCTACGATGGGTGCCTCGAGTTCATGAATATCATTGAGGAGAATAATGGAGGAAACCCGGTGGTGGCACTACTTTGCGCCTCACGCGGATGCCGCTAGAACTTCCATAGAAGAGAAAAGATGCCAATACGCGTTGCTCCCGGGATGGACCACATCCTCGGGGAGATGGCGGCCGCCACTCCTCTTCTCTAACTACCCATTCTCGCTCTGTCCCACTCCGTCCCTGCAAATCCAGCTGGTGGTGATGGTGGTGAAAACCCTAATGAGGATGAGTATCTGGCATAGTTCTAAATATCGATCGGTACGGTAAGTACCGGCCGATTCATACCGGAAAATCGAAGCACCGATTCGGATATAGACCGATATAGCGGTGAGAATGAAATTCACAGCCGTAACGTCCGAGTCTCGGTACGTAGCGGCCTAAATCCGATAAATACGGCGATACATTCGAATACACGTTGGTTGTCACCGATACGGATGAAAATTCGCGCAGAAAACCTGCAAGAACTAAGCTTCTTTGGGCTGTGGAGTTCACTTCAATCTTCAAGCTTCTTCAAAGAAGATTTGTCCCTGAGTTGCAAGTTACACTTTGTGCTTGTGCTTGTGCTTATGCTCTGTTTTGCTTATGCTTATGCTCTGTTTTTGGTCAACCTGAAGCTACTATGCTCTGTTTAGTTTTTTTTTTTTCTTCTTTTGTTTTTTTTTTTTATACACCTACACTACACCACTGTTTATATTAATATATATATGTATATATATATATTTCTATTTGGATTAGTGGAAAGGTTTTTTTATTTTTTTTTATTTTTGTGCTATGTTTTTGTACTATGTTTTTTTTTTTAAATTTTCTTATTATTTGTGTCTTGGTTTAGTGTAAATGCTTAAAATTTAGATTTTTTATTTATTTTTTATTTTTTAAAGAGGTTTATTCTTATCAGTTTTTTATTTTTATTTTAAATGTATTATTGTTACTAACTAAATTAGAATTATAATATTTGTCAATTGAAAACTGTTATTGTAAATAATTGAAAGTTATAATTGAGACTAAAATAAATACATATTATTTAATTGAAAATGAGTCAAAAGTGCACCTACATATCAAAATTTTGATTAAAATGTGACAAATTAAGGCTGAAAGAGAAAAAAAATGCATAAAATTGAGTTTTAGAGGGATTGTTAATGATTTTTAAAATTTCACGGCCGCGATACTCAATTCCCAATACGTACCGGCTGATACTACCGATACTGATACTCCGAGATCGATACCGTTACGTTACCCGATACCGTGATTCAGAACTATGGTATCTAGAAGATGGAGAGGTGGAAAAGGAGAGGGAGCCGATGAGGAGGAGAAGAGAGAAGGTAAGGCTTACGTCGGAGCAAAAAGCATCAATGAGAGAGTATGCTGCTGAGACATTAGAGTGGAGCCTCCAAGGACACAATGAGGAGGAGCTTATTCAATTCTGTTCCGATATCAGAATCGTACCTCAAGTCTTCAAGGTTTGGATGAGGAACAACCGCGACAAGTACATGGATGCTGATGAAGCATCGTCTGTCGATGAGATCTTATTTGCTCCAAAAATGGATTCTTGGTGGTGGTGGTAGTGGTGTGGTTTGAAGTATCTGTGAAGAGGAATCTCCGCTAGGGTTTTGTTTTTGTTTTTGTTATTTTGTGCTTTTGTGGTTTTATGAGTCTTTATGTGCTTAGTGGTAATGATCAACTTGTGCAAGTGATGTAGTTTATGAATTAATGTAATGGGCTTTGTTTTCCTATAAAATTGAACTCAAATTTGTAAAACAAACTTGAACTTAATTTGTAAATGTTTGGTTAAAAATTGAATCAGCCAGAGACAAAATGAAGGGTAAAAACCAGAGAAACAAACAAACAAACCAGCTTTGCAACACTTTAATAATCTAGCTAAATTATGATTATAGAATACCTGGACTAGTTCACTTGAGTTTCAATTCTTTTTGTTTTGTTTATTATCAAAGTAAACATTAACAAGGAAAAACAAAAAATCAAGAAACAAATAAATTATCACTCAAAAGTTGATACACATATGACTTCTCATTATCTGCACCAAACTGTATTAGTGTAGGAAAGCAAGAATTTTCGTGCAAAAAAACTAGGGTAAATTATACAAATATTTCATGTAGTTTACACTATGTGTCAATTTGGTTCCTGTTTTTCAATTTGCTCAATTTTGTCCCTTAATATAACAGATTTTATCATTTTAGTCTAATAAATAATGGTTGTTAAGTTTGGTGGACGGAAAGTCAAACTATGTGTCAATTTAGACCCTGTAGTTTACACAATGTGTCAATTTAGTCCCTGTCAAAATGGAGCAAATTAAAACAATAGGAACCAAATTGAAACATTGTGTAAACTACAATGACCAAATTGAGACATTGTGTAGATTTTCCATTCACCAAACTTAACAACCATTATTTATTGGAATAAAATGAGACAATCTATTAAACTAAGAGGCAAAATCGAGCAAATTGAAACAATATAAACCAAATTGACACATCGTGTAAACTACAGGACCATTTGCATAATTTACCAAAAAAACTACTTGTAATTAACTATGTTCAATGAAAAAAAAATTTAGTTGCACATAAAATTTCAAATACATAATGTATAAATGTAGCACATATATTCGCAATTACAGATGCACAAAATGCACAAATATTGCACATATGTGCTTTCTATGTTAGGAATTTTCTGTGCACGTAGCACACGCTGAAAAAATATTTATTTATCATCTTTGTTTTTTTTCTCCATTTTTTTATGTTTTGTTATGAAAGGATGAAATAAGTTTGGTAGCAAAGATTAGTGTAATATTTTTGTATTTAATGATATTTGAAATTTGTTTGGTTGTAATTAATGATAGTTGATTTTTACAAAGTAAAATGAAGTCGAGCCATGTTTATTATTTATTGAAATAGTAGAATAAATATATTATTTAAAATAATAACTAAAAAAATTTATCATGAGTTTCAAGCTATGCTCTAGCTAGATTTTCGAACCTTTCAAAACTCAACTTGTTTGCATCCTTAATATTAGAGGACGGTATTGCAATCTAACATGCACAGTGTAAAAATGACAACGCTTACTTAAGCATTTAGTTTTGTCCTAAAAGGATGAAAGAAGTTTAATAGCAAAGACTAATGTAATAATTTTATATTTAATGAGGTGTGAATTAATGACAATTATTTTTTCAAACTAAAATAAACAACATTTAATGTATTCTGTTAGAAATTTTTTAGCTTAAATATATATATATATATATATATATATAGGGACCCTTATAGTTTATTAATAAAAATCTCATAACCTTTATTCATAATTTGATATTGTACTAAAAATTAATTCAAATTATAAATCACGACCAAGTGTCAAATTAATTTTTTTATCACTTAAAATTAAAACATGAAGTAGTCATCATTTAAAAAAAAAAATGAAATAGGTTTCAAACAAGTGTGGATTTGGTAGTATAAAATTTAATGAAGAATGCTAGATGCACAGAAGGTATTTGTGCATAGAATGCACAACTTTTTTACATGAAGGTGGGATCCACACATGTGGGGTCCACTATCTTGTGAAAAGATTGTGTATTTTGTATACAATATCCTCCGTGCATTTAGCATGTCTCAAATTTAATTACTATTAGAATAAATGAAAATAGTTGGAGTTTGACATTGGATTTAATAACTCATTTAGGTTTTGTTTTAGGTTTGACTTTTTCAGTGATTTTTTTATTTTTGAATTTTTTATGAAATGGAAAATGTTAACGTATTTACAAATTACTTTTTTTTTAGTTATATAAAAAAATGTAAATAACTAGTGTGTTTTATTTTATTTTTTTTAAAACAAAACAAACAAACAAACAAACCCCTAAAAATTAGGAAAATGATATACAAGTCTACTTTTTAGGCTCATTTTCTAGACCCGATGATGTATAAATGATATGATTGGTTGATAATTAGGGAAGATATGAGAGAGTGTTGCCTTAGATATCATAATTGATTGTCATATCATTGAATTTGAAAAATAAATTTAATTTTTGGACTTGAATAACAATGTTCTAAAAATTATAAAAAAATAAAAAATAAAACATTCAAGATGTTGTGGTTCACTAACTTTTTAGTTAGTCATTAAATGCACTTTAATAAGTGCCAAGGCAATTGAATATGAATAAATTACATCATTAGTCTCTATAGTTTAGGTAAAATATAGCGATTCATAATTGATTGTCATATCATTGAATTTGAAAAATAAATTTAATTTTTGGACTTGAATAACAATGTTCTAAAAATTATAAAAAAATAAAAAATAAAACATTCAAGATGTTGTGGTTCACTAACTTTTTAGTTAGTCATTAAATGCACTTTAATAAGTGCCAAGGCATTTGAATATGAATAAATTACATCATTAGTCTCTATAGTTTAGGTAAAATATCATTTTAATTTTCGTAATTTCAATTTAAATAATTTGACATTTTCAAATTTTTTTGAAAAAAATTATTCAAAATTACATTTTCACAAGTCCTACAAACTTTAAAAATTGCAAATCCTAGAAATAAAATCCACAAATTGGAATCATATAAGTAAGTCCTTCGGCTTATTTTGAACGACAAAATTTTTGAAAGTGAATGGGAGTAATCTTACGTACCACCTTTTAGAACAAATCAGAATGATTAAGTAATTCTTGATTAAAATTAGTCTAAGGTCCCTCTCACATTTTTAGTAATGGAACAGATCCATAATATTATTTTTTGATGTCGAAGGTCCCTAAACCCACACCTGTATATCATATCAAAGAAATTTGGCTCTCTCTCTCTCCTTCCGATGAAATTCTCACGCTTACAATGACCCTTTAACCGTCACGATCTCTCTCTCTCCAGAAAATGTGAAAACACACTTCGTGGCGATCATCGCGGCCGCCCTGATTTCCCTTCTCGTCTTCAGTGCCACTGGCGAGACCAACAACCCAAAAATCATCATGGAAGACCGCCACATGATCCTCTTCGAGAAGTTCGGGTTCACCCACACCTACCACGTAAACATCACAATCTCCGGCGTGTCGTTATCAATTCAATCATTTTCGGCCTATTCCAATGCTTCGAAGACCTCTCTCACACCGACTGTCTCCTCTATTTCACTGTGAGTCGAACTTGAATCCCCCATTATCTTTCCTCAATCTCAGCTCGAATCTATCTCGATGGCTATTTTTTACGATACTAGAGCTTTGATTTCTTCAATCAAAGCATCAATTCGGCTTGAGACACTGTGAATTGTACTACTGATGTTGCAAGGGAGTTGTGTTTTGAGAGTGGGGTTGAGAAGGTGATTAGTGATGTGATTCAAAAAGCGGTAGTAAACGGAGGGGAAGCGATAATAAACGGAGGGTTTGCGATGGGGGAAAGGAAAAGGGTTTATGGATTGGCACAGTGTTGGGAAGTGTGAGTAGTAGTGGATGTAGAGAGTGTTTGGAGAAGATGGCAGATGAGGTAAGAAGGTGTGTGCCTAGTAGGGAAGGTAGAGGGTTGAATGCTGGGTGTTATTTGAGGTATTCTACTATGAAGTTCTTCAATGGAGGTGAGAAATTGTAGAGAAGTTTTGGTTAGTCTCTCTCTGTCTCTATTTTTTGAATTTGATCATATGAGAATTTGTGAGTGAATGGAGTTTGATTTTAGTGTTTTTGTTGTTGAATTCTTGTGTTTGAGGTAAAACTGCTTTTGGAAATTTGAGAGAAATTCTCTCCAGAGAAATTCTTGGGTTCAACCCAAAGAAAATTCAAATTTCTCTAGGTTCATTTTGGCCAATTTTCTCTGGGTTCAAATTCAAATTCAAATTTCTTTGGGTTCATTTATAAACTAGAGAAAATTCAAATTTCTCTAGGTTCATTTTAACTAATTTTCTCTAGATCGTAAAGACACATTATTTTATGAAATCTAGAGAAATTCCCGAATACATCTTCAAAAAACCAATCATCACATAAATTTATTCCAACAACTGTTAATAAGTTAAAACAAACCAAAAATCAAATCTAAGCAAGACTAGAATTACCCACTACAATATTCACCATTGATCAAATGACCCAAAAATTTATGAACTAAAAAGTTCTACAAAAATCCAGAGAAATTTTCTCTGGGGTTTTTGTCAATTTCTCTGGGGTTGAAGTGAATTTCTCTAGACTAAGAGAATTTCTCTGGGTTGAAGTGAGTCCAAAGAAATTCTACTAAGATTTTCTTTGTGAAGTCGAATTTTCTCTGGTTTTGGCTATTAAAATTTTAGTCGGCAAAGAGTTCTTCTTTTGGCTACTAAATATTTGGTCGCCCAAAGTCCTACTTTTTTGGCTACTAAATTTTTAGTCGGTAAAGAGTTCCTCTTTTGGCTACTAAATATTTGGTCACCTAAAGTTCTAGTTTTTGGCTACTAAAATTGTAGTCAGCAAAAGTGTTTTTATCCTTTAGCTTTTTGTTTTTAGCTACGAAATATTTTATCCGCCAAATGTTTGATTTTCTTTTGGTTACTAAACTTTTAGTCGCCAAATGTCTTCTTTTTTTTTCTTTTTCTTTTTTTTTTGCTACAAAACTTTT